AAAAGACTGCCATTGTTAGCATATTGCATAACAATCATGTACTCTTTTGTCTCTGGGTCTTGTGTGACTCCATAAATTTGAAGGAATGAATCACCACACTTGGCATGATTTCTGAACTGTTAAACAAAGAATAAATAAAGTAAGCTTCAATATCACTTTAATTAATACTACCAATTATTGCTTACCTCGGAAATAAATAATTCCGGTATTTCATCAAAATTTTTAAACCGTTTGAGTACAACTGTTTGTTGCATATAGTCTACTTCTGAATACTTTTCATACTTGGCAGTATAAACTGTTCCGTAACCACCGAATCCAATCTCTTTGAGTTCATAAAAGTCGCTATACTGCATGTATTTAACACGTTTGTTGTTTCGTATAAACCTGTCCAGTATCGTATGTATTTCATAGTAGAAAACTAAATAATAGTCCCGAGTAGATGGCTCCTGAGTGATTCCAATTATCCAAATATTATCAGGTGTTAATATCGTCGAGTATTCCGTAGTTAACTATTTTGAGCAAACAAAATACACATTATAACACTAGTCAATTAAACGTATGAGTCGCACTTATCGATTGCATTGTTACACGTGAAATAAGTTACCTGATGAAAATTATCGTCAACTATTTTTTTGAGTGTTACACGGGTCAATTCATTCCATTCTGCTATATGCGTACATCCATGGCGCAATGACGTCATCTCTTGTACTTTTGTTAACAGGGAATATTCTATCCATTGTATATACGCATCATATTTGTTACTCATATTACTCCATGACTCTATAATAAACGAATCCAGTAGCGTGTTGCCTGTAGTCCAATCAACAGGTCGTGGTGCTTTACAACTATGACAGAAGAATGCATTTATCTCGGGGTTTAATACTCCTGTGCATGCCAGACATAATCCATTCGTATGGTCAGCTTTTATTAGACAATACTTTCTTTCCCATTCATCGTATGTAAATCCGATGGTAACCCAAACATCCGTGTTAAGAATATCAGGATGCTTATCACATAACTAGTGGAAATGATACATAATAATAAGTCAATAATTATTAAACTATTCAACAAGCATGACGCATAAGTAAATAGTTTACCTCGGCATAATGTAAGTCATGTGTCTCATTTGTTATCTCAAGTGGAATCAATTTAACCTCTGTACGATAATTAATAGTAAAAGGTAGATCACGCAACCATCCACTTCCATCTCCATTTCCCCAATCATCAATACAATCGTATGGAATCCATTCCAAATAGGCGTCATTTGGTGAGCTTGTTTGTAGTTGTGATTTCTTAATAAAGTCATCGAGTTGGTGATTGTTGCTAGTCCACCCATCGGATAATTGTTTATAACCACAAATGCACCACACGGGACTACATCGGAGTATTCCACATGTGGAGCAAAAGCCATAAAGAGAATAATAATGGTAAAACCATTCGTGAGCAACCATGTAATAGTTGTCATCATTAGACTTGGTGAATCCAATAATGCGTTTGTTGCGATTCGTAAGCCATTCGGAGTATCGCCTAAAGTGACTGACATTGTTGTTGTACTTGTGTGTTGGAAGTGAGTATATTCTCGCAAACTCACTCACAAGTGTTGGTGTGCATGCTTCACTGCTTCCAAGTAATACTAGCGTTATCGTCTCATCATAACATTTGCGAATGGCGTAGTAAACATTGTCAATTTGAGTAGGCTTTACGTTGGTGATTTCTTCGTAAGGTATCCATTCCAGTTTATTTTCGCTTTCCAAGGAGGATTCAACCAAGGAGGCAATGGTTAGATTATACGACATAGTTAAAAATCTTATCTCTCAATGTTAATATGTCCGCCCTTATCTAATATTAATTGTGTTACATTCGATCGGAAAATAATTTGTAGCATTTAGTATTAGAATTTATTATCTCTTGCCAAAATCAAAATGTCTAAAATTTTCATTCAAGAGACCCAATTACAATCGCTTTTTTGGAGTCTGACAAAGATGTGCTGATATTGATGTATTTAAGAAAGCAAGGTCGCTGGTTATGATTAACTAAATGCACGCTACTTTCTCATCCTTAAGGTCTGGCAACAAGGGCGATAAAATTAGTTAAAGGTGCAAAGCAGATAAATACAATGACTGTACTTCAACCGTATTATTTTCTGTATTAACATGTCTTTACTGATTCAGAAGACCTCAAAGAGGGGGTACTGACAAAATACGAGATTCAAGCTGGTCATTTATCGATATTTCACCTTCATTATTTATGAAAGAAATTCACAAAATTGAACCCTTTGCATTAAGGACATACGATGCAGGATAAGCAATATAGGAACGGTTGTTGGAAGCAACGAAGCTATCACTCTTGTACCGGAAAGAAAATCTCGTTGAAAGTTAGTCGAGCGGAATCCACAGGTCGTTTGGATTATGCAATCACAACGCTCGAGAAATTAATTTGTATCACAGGCAGCACGGGTTTTGCTCAGGGTGGTAAGCTTACTGCAATATTGCTAAAACTGGTTTATCCAACAGAATGATATGCAATGCGAAAGTGCTCGTCTGACTAATGGAAAGAAACGAAAAGCTGATGTCACTTCGGGGAAGAATATGACTGTCTTTACGGAATAATCACTACGGCCACGGAGTCTATTTTCTCTTCATGTACAAGTGAAAAGTGAATACCATATGGATATTGCTAGGGTAGAAAATGAAGCCAATTTAAGCAAAAAAATTAAACAGGTGATGGACGACGTCAGCAGACAAATTTTAGAAATAAATCTTGAAAAGAGGCATTGTTGGATAGAACCGATATTGAGGAAGTGCCAGAAAAAGAAAAAGTTTAGGGTTTATGAATATCTTAAGAATTAATAGTCTGTATATCATAGGGCTTTATCGAGAGATTACTAATAAATTTCGTTATATCGAGACAGCTTTGAATTTGTTCCACAAAAAATCTCCGTACTAAGCGGTATCCGTTGTATCGAGCGTCCGTTGAGTTTCACTGTGTATCGCAGTATTGTACCGTATGTTATTGTACCGTATGTTGTTGTACCGTATGTTGTTGTACACATTATGCTTTTCGCCAAACACTGTTCAAGAAATAGTTAATCACAGTCACGTCGCTGTTACTTATTGTGTAACATTTGCATTAGTGCCGTACGCGCATTTTTTTATAGGTTTGAATTAACATCTAATATATTTATTGTTAATTCTTATTCAAGAAAATGTAATTCAATACCCACTTCAGATAACTCATCCGCTCTATTGTTTTTTATGATTATTAATGCGGTATTCATTAATTTGCCTGATCCAGCGATAACTCAATACCCAACGACGGGCGTACTTAATTAAGGAAGTACAATCATATTAGAATTTACTGAGAAAGTCGAATTATAGATTGAATTATCAGCAGTCAATTGTATAATAGATCGTGAAATCGATGGTAACAGTAAATAAAGACCTCGAAAACTCAATGGTAACGGTAATATTATGGGCAATTTTATTGTCAAGTTATAGTAATATTTAAAACACTGCTAATTTTTGATTCGCTTAGAACTTTTCAGGCGTTCTTTTGCTTTGTGCTTTTTGGGTTCGATCCGTTAATGGATCGTTTTTCTCTAGCTTACGTGAGTTATAATTGCTATTAGTGATGCTATTTCGTCAATTTGATTATCTACTTGTTCACTTTTTGCATTCAGTTAACAGGTCCTGCAGTTTCTTGTGTAATATCTCCCCACAGTTCTCCATACAGTTGTCGCGAAATTGACATGTTTTCTTCTTTCTCTCGAAGGTCTGGAGATACAAACCAATCGATTGTATTACGTTTAACTGATGTTGCTGAGAATTATCTTGTAACAACATAATTGGGGTTTCTTGCGGATTGTTGTGCTATCTTTTGTGAACAAATGTGACGTGGAAACAGAATAAGCTAACACGGTTGCTCAACGCATTATCATTTCATTGTTGCAGTGATTCTTCAGTGCGTTGTCATTATTTCTTAAGACACCTCTCTTCGCGACGTAAATGGTGTATGCTACCAATTTACTTGTGGCGTGAATGAATGTAAGAATATCCGATTGTAGCGAACATCTTACGCGTCGTATAATAATAAATGTCAAATAAATACAATATTAGACACTACAAATTTATACAATTCAATCTTTTCACTATCCTTTTTTCTTTACTTCTGACTCATTTCATAGCTTTTTAATATAATTTGTATTGAAATCCTTTTTTCATTATAGTATAAACTAGGCACGTATAATGAAAATCTTTATCGTTGTTGAAACCTTGTTCCACCAGCAGATAAAACGCAACCTGTACTATTACTATGGTTGTTTGAGTATTTCTATACCATTATTGTGAGTAGAGACATAGTTGATTAAAAATATTAGTATACTTTTCACTATCACTATACACTTTAAGTTGTTAATATTTATAACCCAACTTTTGGTCTCGAACCCCCTCTTTACTGCATTCTAACCAGTCTTATCACGTGATGATGGTCGAATTGTCTGTACTCGATGCTATTTATCGAACGGATTGAGGCAAAAAGTAATTAGGCGTTATTATTGTAAGTCAATGATTACATGTTACTACTCTTATTGAATATACAGTTCACACGCTGAATAATTTGACATGGTAATATTGAATTTTATTATATAAAATATTGATTTTATTGAAGGGTTGTTCATCCAACACTTAATCATCTTCCATTTCTTCATTTAGAGACTCCTAGAAAATTCAATGATTCAATAAATACATCGTATAGACCGTTCCTTTGACTCTCCACGTCTTTTCACATCTTTGTACTAACCTTGGCTAATCTCTCTGCTTCAGCGGCAAGATCAGCAGGCACAAATTCATGCCGTTTGTTTTGCGCGGTCACCCAGCTTAACTCCAATTCGAATTCTTTATCTTTTGCCTCGTCATGAACTGCATAAATTCTGTTACAGAGTCGACGAGTGAGTGTACAGTGACAGTTGGAGTAAAAAGCTCTCTCTCCACCCCTAATAAACCTACATTCTCGCTGCTTGTTTTACTGCGTCTACAATTGATAGTTTATCGAGATTGAGCTTCTCAATCTCAGTTTTCGCTACCTGTTTTCCTTTTCCAATTGCGCAGCCATGGTAGCCCTGTTACGGCAACATAATTAATAAGTGCGCATTAGTCTACGATTCATTAAATCTCACCATAACATATCATTTAGTAGCTCACCCAATAGACACCGGATGGCTCAATCATGTATAACTGGGGACCGTCAAGGTCAAATGTCCCGATTATCGCACTCGCTCCAAACGGTCGAACACTCGAATAGAGAGTGTATATTTGTACATAATGACCTACTCTATCAGCAATCATCTTGTCAAAAATATGCAAATTCACATAAGGATTTAGTCAGTCTAAAAAACATTCAACTCTAACCGAACGTCATGCAAAATACATTTACCTTTCCAGAAATCGGTACCCTGTAAATATCTCGATAACTCTCTGCCTCATCTCGAGCTCTATTAACAATGTGACGACCATCTGCTAACAAGCCAGCCGTAGCCTTTAATATATCAAAGCGGCAAAAACCATTCAATCGCAAATCACTTAGTAATTGAAATATACCTTCCAGTCACAACCACTTTCCAGTACTTTCCGCTATAAACGCGGGCAAATGATACGAATCAAACACTCCATACCACACCAATATGTGTATCAACAGTCTGGATACTTCTATTCGACTTGGGAACCAACAACTTCGACTGCACCAATTTCTCTACAGCCAGTACAATACCTTCGGGGACACGCAGGCCAATGACGGTCCTACACAAGTTAATCAGTGAATAACAAACCCATGAGCAAAATAATAAATAATAATGATAATAATAACCCATATTTCTTTTATCGAAAAAAGCCTCAAATATTTACGAAAAGATTTATGAAATATACCCGCTATTATCTACAGCCTTTGCAGCATATTCGACTTGGAAGACGCGACCGTCTGGCGAGTATGTGGATACTGATAAGTCGTACTTTGGAAGAAATTATGAGATATATAAGTATCAAAGCATATACTGAACGTAGATATGTCTTTGCAGAATGTGTACGGATATTAAAGTAAATCCAATTTAAAATTGAATTACATAACATACCCCAGTTCCAATGGAGCTCATGGCGAGTTAGTCTTCAAGTTGGAGCAAAAAGAAGAGATTTCAATCATAGCTTACGCAACCAATGTACGTTTCAATAATTGATGACGTCAATATACAAAATTTTTGATATGAAGGGTTTAACAGATCAACCAAATCAACAACTATAGTTATAGTATCTTTCTTTCACACATTAAAGCATGAAGTTGGACGTAAGAGTTCTTCGTTATATGAGCTCTGAAGAGTTCCGAGTCCTGACAGCGGTAAGACTCTTTCATTCATAACTTTTTATTGCCATGTTCGCGTACCTCGCATTATCAACTGCGAAAGTAAACCTCAATATATCTAGACCTCTTTAGGTCGAAATGGGCTCCAAGAATCACGTAATTGTGCCCACCTCTCTAATTGCGCAAATTGCCGGGTTACGACACGGCGGTGTTAATAAAATATTGGGAGAACTGGCAAAGAAGAAACTTGTTGCTAAGGTTAAGAATTCAATGTGTATGTTGTGTAATTTTGTTTTGTAATGTAGAGAATCTGTCAACCGATTTGGTTTTTATTTCAATGATTCAATTGGGCGTTTTTTATACACGTCTTTTTAATTAGATGACGGATACAGATTGACATACGGAGGTTATGATTACCTTGCCCTAAAGACATTTTCAAGACGTGGGAGCATATACTCGATTGGCAAGCAGATCGGTGTCGGGAAAGAATCAGGTGTGAAACTTATTGTAACTAGAAACACGATCTTGCAGTTTCAGTAAATGACTTGGCGTCTATTCCTTAAAGATGTGTACCTTGTCGCCGATGAAGAAGAAATCCAGAGCGTCCTCAAAATTCACAGGTAATTTCACGTGTTCAAGTTGTCATGTTGCATGCTTTTATAGTAGACACGCAATTACATGCATAAATCTATACGTACCGTAGACTTGGCCGTGTGTCATTTCGCGCCATAAAGGCACAGCGTGATTATCTTCAAAATCGTAAGACTGCGTCGTGGTTATACATGTCTCGTTTGGCTGCTATGAAAGAATACGCTTTTATGAAGGTGAGATTTCTCGAACGGTTGTTGAATGTTCAGTAGTTGTACAATGCGATATTAATAAGATAGATCTTTATCATAGATCTTACACGAACATGGATTTCCGGTTCCAAAACCTATAGATCAATCTAGGCATTGCGTTTTAATGGAACTAATTGACGCATTTCCATTGTAAGCATACCCATAATTCTTTTTTGAAAGGGAAATATCATGTGATTTACACCGTTCCCTTTCTTTTCCTTTCTTCCAATTCTTCAGACGGGAGGTAATCGAGGTTAAAAATCCAGGAAAATTGTATTCAGACCTTATGGACTTGATAGTCAGACTAGCTTCTTATGGACTCATCCATGGAGACTTTAACGAATTCAATATACTGCTGAAAGAAGACGGGGAGCCGGTGTTGATCGACTTTCCTCAAATGGTCTCGATATCACATCCGAACGCAGAATGGTACGTTTCGCGAGAACGTGGCTAAGAGTACTGTTATTATTGTCGTCGTTGTCGTCGTCGTTCGTGAGCACTAAACTTGACTGCACACCTGCTGTGTATAGGTATTTTAACCGGGACATAGAATGCATACGTACCTTTTTTCGAAAAAGATTCGGTTACGAGAGCGTATTATATCCTAAATTTAATCTTGACGTCAACCGGGAGTTTAATCTGGACGTTCAAGTTGCCGCTAGTGGATTTACAAAGCAACAGCAAGAGGAGCTCGAAGGGGTGAGTTAACATGAACGACTACATTTGCGAATGTGATTTCCACGTTATTAAGCTAATCAAACGTGTGTATAGTATCAAGCTAAGATAAGCCAAAGCGAGGGAGATGATGCAAGAAATGAAGATGATGAAGTTGATGACGATGAGGATGACGACGACGACGACGACGATGACGACGATGACGAGGACAATGACGACAATGCTGAGATTGCTGATGATGACGAAGATGCCAGAGATTGGATGGAGAAGAATGCTAGAGAAAGCGTTAAAGGCGAAGATATAATAAGCGGTGACGCGAACATTGCAAATGAATCAGTGATACAAAATGTTACAAAAGATGCTAAATCAGAGACAGAAGAAGCTAAATCGGAAACAGAAGAAGACCCAGAATCTGACCTAGAACAATTAAACAACCGTGATTATATGGCACATCGCGACAAGAAACCCCCAAAAAAGCGTACAGGTACAACGTCTACATCTACGTCTACAACCACCCGATTGTCCGAGGCAGATATCAAAGAACGAGTGGCAATGTCCATTCGTCGGTCGAAGAAGAAAAAGTCAACACCCAAACGAAACCAAGAGAAGGGAAAAGAAAAGAGAAAAACAAAGGATGTTCTAAAAGCCGGGGGCAGAGACTTTAGTATATTCGATTGAAAAGAGTGATATCTGCTACAACCTTCCAGACATTTCCTGCGTTCTGAGTCAAAAGAATTAGTTACAGATATTTATGTCAAAATAACGTAATTGTAAATGTGAATTTTAACTTTCATAGACTCGTAATGTTTAATAGCAAAATAAAAAGCAAGAATTCCAGTAATTTTAGCCGCTATGATGTGCATGTAGTGACCATACTACATTAGGTATTTACATTGACATTTTCATGATTGATAGCTACGTGCGGTCTTAGAGAATAGAATAAAGTTGGCCAAGTTGGTGGTCTCATCACTAAGCACTACAGGCCCTATTGTCGCGGTGGGGGAACGCAGCCGTCTCGCGAAGAAAAACCGCTGACATGTGTCACGAGTCGAAGCTCTTCAAATGCGTATATTTTTGCAATATGAATTAAATTATAAAACACTTTTTGCAGTCAGATTCAATTACAAAATATCTGCATATAGTGACATTATGAAAAGTTCTTAATGATACAAAAAAAAATCTTTCCATCGCCGACAACGAAAGACTGCGACGGGACCATTCATCAAAAAGTGCCTAAAAAGTTTGCACCAGGTTAATGCGATCAGGTAACAAACTTGTGATTCGGGTTAGTGTTATATGCATTGTTGTCAACATTACACGAATTGTGCTAACCCTAAGTGATAATATTACAAACACAGTACATAGTATTAGGTGACTACGCTCCATGGGATAGAATCAAAGCACATTTTTCAAGTTCTGAATGCAACAACATCTGCGTCAGCAAGTAAAAGCAATTTTCCTGCAAAGCGGTTATTCTTGAGGGTTAATTCTGAGCCATCGCAATTACATTACGCAATTGCATTAAATTTATTAGTAATAAATCTACTAATTGATACGCGTCCATACCAAATCTAATAAAATTAATTTAACTTGTTCATTTTTAAGAAATTTGGAAAGTTGCCTATGGTGGATTTTACGAATTATGAATGTGGTGAATATCTCGACAGAGCAATGAAACGAAAGGCATACTAGTCGCGTTCTCAAGAAATTTTTTTAAACCGTTTCAAACGAATTAATTAATGATCACACTAATCCTATGGATAAATTCCAGTCAGCTTGAATTCCTTACAACAAGGTTCTTGTTCTTAGCGCAATACGCTTACATCAGAAGTATTCTATTCCCAAACTCCTTGCTCTTTACAAACTGCCGCCACGTGCCATGATAAAGGATTGCTGGTCGGTTTTTTCAACGTCTGGCCAACAGAGAAATGGGAATGATCAAAAACTCACCAACGATATCACCTAACGGACATTGGTTGTAATTCAATGCAAATATGCCATGCTTTTATTAATAAATCTAGTTGTGTAATGATGATATTCATATTATATTATACAAAATGCATAATAATAGTCTCAACGATTATTAATTAAAATACAGGTGAGCTCAGGATAAATAAATTTTCTTCTTCTCTTTTAATCCAACGTAATAATATATTTACTGACTGCGTTAATGCTGTTTTTGATACCAGTGGACCAAACGCAGCGTACAATTCAAAGTCTTGTGTTATCTATTCAACAAAGATCGGAAATTAGAATTAAGAAACGTATAACATACCACGACATATAATCGAACTGAACGATGCACCCGTTGTCCAATTCTCCATCTATACTCACCCAACCTATTATTAGCTCAGATGAGCTTATGTAAGAATGCACTTTGAGAGGCCTTAACCGAGAGTGCATTCGATCATGCGTATATCGGTACATCTTGAATAATCTGATATAATGGTGTTAACCAAATGGCGTGAGACTACGTTATGCGCGTACGACAAATGCTAATCCATATTACCTTCTTTTCTCTCGAGGAGTGTCGTATGGCGGTGTGAACATGGGCATCGTGTGTTGTACGTGTGGTTTGGCTTTATATAGGAAATGTCGTAACGCAGGTGCACCAATATCGGCTAAATTAAGCAAGTCGATGAGTATTAATTGACAAACTCTGGTAACCGACAAGATTGTAATGTCAAACTGCTCAGCGAATTCACACTAACTAGATAACTACCAACTGCATATCCATCGTTCCGAGCTATTTCTTCAAGGAATGTCAATGTGCCGTCCAAGGTTAATTTCTAGACATAAATAGTTTTGAATTAATATAAACTTTTGCTGATAAAGACAAGTTTGTAAATTTAATTACCTCTACAACAACCGATTTTGCCTCTGCCAACTCAAAAAACATGCCTTTATCAGGCGATACCAAGAGTAGGCATACTTTAGACGTTATGTAACTGACATAGGCGTGTAGGAAGCCTTTGTTGTTGAATTTTGGCAGACATAACGGAATCCACGATTCTACCGCGTGAAATCCAGATGATCCGTTCACCATGTTGAATATCAAGTGCAGATCTGTAATGTGTCCAATATGAAGGTTACTCGGCCTTTATGCAAACAGAATACAAACAGTGTGGATAATGTGCACCGACTATAAGGCAATGCATTCTATCCTTTGCGACACGTATAACAAAATATCATAACAATTACCACTCGGATGAAGGCTATGTTTACGCGGTCTAAGTAGAGTAATAAGCTTATTGTCTGTCATTAACATTGCATATAAAAGTTCCTACAGAATTTAAATAAAGATTAATTTCTGTATCGGCATAGACATCTGTCAAACTTACACATGAATACCTTGCGTTTTATACTTTGCACAATAGTGGCTACTTTCTCTCTTAGATCTTTATTCATTCTCATACACTCAATAGACCCAAACAAGAAACCTAAATCATCACTCATAGTCGAGGATAAATTATCCAAAAACACTTCTGTGCCTATTCACGAGATGAACGAAATGTTACAACGTATTTTTTCACAAGTGTGAATATATTAATGCTCGTACCTGCAATTAATCGCCTTAAATCAAAATTGGTCCTTTGTTCGAATACCTTGGTCAAGTGCGCAGATGTCACCACGTAGATTATTTGATTGTATAGATAGCTTAATTGATTGCGCAACTACATAAGAGTCAAAGGAATGAATTAACTCGAGTCTGAAATTTACAAGACATGCATACGCCAGATAGTTTACCTGTGATTCAGATTCGTTCGTACGCGATACAGCCACAAGATATAACGGCGCTTTCAATAAAAATACAAATTTATGACGGCCAGCATTTATGCATCTGTATAAAGAGTATCAATTGTTAACAAATGCAGAGAACACATTCATTCGAAAACTTTTATGCATTCATCACACCTTATGGAATCATCTGCATCTGCAAAAAATGATACGATTGCCTGTATTACGCCCATGTAGGGAGATATTCGCGACTCGTCGCCATAACTAAATTGGCATACATACGAAATAATGTCATTAATAAAAAGGTATATTACCCACGAATCACTATCCGCACATTGGTTACGTACCGCGTATAGATGGGCTTACCAGCGCTGCTCAACATAAAAAAGTGTTTCCTGTGTCTCGCCCATTTTGTAGAGTGCGGATCTATTATCAAAACCAATTATTCACAAGATCAAAGACTGTGCAAATAGTAATTAATGGTAGTATCTCATCAGAACATTAAACAACGCGTACCTTCATGACTGTATTTCCGACGATATCCAGAATATTCATCGTCCATTGACACTACAGACAAGTCTCGCGAAATGGTACCGTCCGGTGTCGACGTTAAAATTCCAGATGTCAGTTCGCACGATGAATCGGAATCTATTTAACACAAAGACAATACTTGTCAATATCCTATTCATTTTTTACTCACTAGATATACGTATATACCTTAATACTCACCCTCTCCCTTATCGACGCTGTTTCCGTAAATCGCGCCATCATGGAAAGTCTCGTTTTCAGGCTCAGCAGTGAAATATAACTGCTCTTCTCCATTCAAGTTATCTATACCCTTTCCCTTCCCGCTTGAAGTCCCTCCACTTGATCTATTCATCAAATTAATCAAAATCTCATCCACACTCCCACCTTCTCGCTCTTTCAAGACTTCTTCTTCTGTCTCACTACCCACGTCAATTTTAGTCGATATGCCGTTAGAACTTTTCACGGACGAAGCGGCGGAAGAAGAGTATTTGTTTGATGCAGGAACCTCAAGAGAAAGTTGAGTGGTTGGCTTGGCTTTTCGTGGTGAATAAAGAGATTGAGAAGTGTGCGGGCCAAGATTCTGGTCGGAAAGATAGTCGTCTATGATCGCAGGCATTGGGCCGAGGACTGGACTCCAAGGAGTTAGTATTGGACTACGTGGAGACGTCATTGGGTAACACGGTATTCGGAAACTAGGATGATTTCTTTAGCAGTTTAGCGAGCTACACCTATGTTTCCGTTAAAGGTTTTGAAGGATTATGAAAGGGGAGGAATTACAGGAAAGATGGGAGATTTTCAATGCTTTGTCTTTCATATGGATAGATGACACAACCAAGCTGTCATTTTGGGGGCGCGCAAGGGCAACAATCTAGTGGCACAGACGTTTATAAAGGAAACATCGCCACTTTTTGTTATCATGATAGAAAAACTTGCAATATCTAAAATATGTAAAGCTATTAGAATGTGAAGGAAGGATCTAATTATTCATTACCTACTGTATTATTCAAATCTATTACAGTTATCATTACAGTTATCATTACTATTACAGTTATCATTACAGCTACTCATTACAGTTACCACTACCGTTATTATTATTATTATTATTATTATTATTATTATTATTACCGTTATTATTACTAAACAACGTAATCGATATAAATGTACTGGCCTAATTAACGCGTATCGCATCATGAGAATTGACAAAACTGTTACCTTACCACCTTTGGCAATGCGACATTGACAGACGCGTACATAGGCACAATGACACATGTGATGTGCCTCATCCTAGGGTCATAAATGCTGAATATTACAAAGTAACTGCTGTTCATCTATTGCTCTCATACTCTTTCTTATTCAGTTAAAAAATTATGAATATGATCGAGTGTTCCCTACAACGCATATGAGCAAAGTGAAAGCAAACTTTCATCCAAAACATCCCACTTATGCAAAGGAGATTCTTATCTCCCGTATTCTTACATTGTTCCCTCGACAGAAACCCAGGAAGTAACAGCTATACCGAATATCGAACATTAGTTCGAAGATATGAGATTGTCAAAAGCATGCGTGCACTAGAATTATATCAGGTGCATATACACATTATAAATATGGGATTCAATTATTGTCGAATATTTTTTTTGGTGTCTTAGCCCAAGATTAGCGTTCATATTCTCCTTTCTAAGCTTAGCGATCGGGATGTTAAATAGAAAATTCAGAGATTGTATAATGTGCAATTATACTCGGCAATCAGAAATCGTCAGATTCTTTTTCACGTATTTGCGAGAACGTACTGTGGTAATTGTAAAAATGATACTGAGTAATAAATAAAATCCTATCCCAAGGTATATTGTATGTATTTATTTCGGGTTTTGTAATACAGCAACGCACTTGATACTCCATCATTCGCCGGTATGTACTATTTTCCCTTCAGCTGGCCATTAGTATTATTATTGCTTCGCTGAGAAAACATCGAGCAATCGGAATAATTGAAAGAGTAAATCAGTAGACATTTGGTTGTTTGTATGAAAAAACTTATCCACCCAATGCTGAACCGATATGTTGCCTGATTTTTAGTCATTAGATTTTCGCGTTTCTTGTTTCTGTTTTTGCGGGGTTTCTTGGCAACATCTGTTCTAAAGGAAATGATCTGTGAACGTGCAAATCAGCAAAATGGAACGGCATCAACACGAGGAAAGTGCAGACTTACCTTTTTCTTATTATGATCAGCATACTCGCAGGGCGTCATACGGAACAAGAATTCTTGCTCATTCTCCTTGCATATTCGAGTTGGATCATTCGATGTGCGCAAAAAACTCTGAAAAAAATTTCCTCTTTGCTTCACGGAGCTTAATGGATTGAGCCCATGGAGGAGTATGAACCGGTTATTGATGCCACTGGCAGAATCAGTTTCGGGAGTGTCATAGTACGATTTCGATATCACGATCTCCCCCCATCCCCCGTATTGTACTGTCCAATCTGGAACAAAGGCGTTCGCGTGTTCGGACTCCTGTCCGTGTATACCGATCCTAAAATTATATTCAGAATGCCAACTGTTAGAGTTAATCTGAAGTCCAAATTCAATAAAAAAAATTGTTCGAGGAATGTACTGGATGAAATACTGTAAACAAACAAAAAATAAGAACAATTCTTTAACAATTTTTATTACTGATGTGCATGAAAAGGCCTATGTAATCGTTTCCAATGGCATCAGCACAATCTTCATTGCACATGATTCCAGAACAGAGTTTCTCTCCAGCATCTGAAAGAAATTTCTTCGCTCCCTGTTTTTGGTTCACATAATTTTTTGACCTGGAAATTATCAAAAATGGGGCATGATTATGATGAGTGGTAATCTGAAGCATGGCATCAAAAGTAATGTTTAAGCTGCCACACACCTGGATCACCAAAACTCCCAGTTTCTTAGCCTTCGATTTATTTGTCATATTGTTTTCACAAACAATGCAACCGAAGCTGAGTGGATCGTTCCATTCGATATTGCTGGCATCGAAGATTCAAAGAGGCTCCTCAACTCATATAATAGCAACAAACGGGACGTCTCATCTTGAATTAAATCATTCTACAGAAGTATCGAGTAAGAACAAGCAAAAAAAAAACATAACTACCCCACAATATGAGTGCGTTACCAATCATTCCCAATTTTTTTCTTGTTTGAAAAGACAGGATTCTCCTCTGTTGTGCTTACGAATTTAAGAGAAACCTGAAACGTGTGAGCACCACGAGATCCGAACCTTCTTGGTTATGTCAGCCAACATGGCTTTACTTTGAGGAGTGGGCAGCAGGGTATTCACTGGAGTCGTCCTTTCGAAAGCATATATATATTAGAGGCCGCCAATGTGCGAGTTGAAGAATGGTTCTTGTTTTGCCGTAGCCGGAAGATTGGACGATGGTCACGCAGTTGAAGTAAGTCGTTGTATTGCCGCTGCTGGCCATTTGATTTAATGGACGGTCCAGCTCCTTCACGTAGTCATCGGGGCCTCTAAAATCGACAGTGAAGGCCTTGCTCCATGTTGATGCTGATAATAACAAATAAAATCAACGTTTATGCCGTGACAAACACAAACATATCGCCAATATAAATAAACGTGCTTGATTGTCTGCTTACCATGTTGTTTGTGATATGCTACAGCGCTTGACTTGGCAAAAAAGTTATTCAGATAGTTTGCCGACATTCCTCAAAGGTGGACAAGCGACAAGGAGACCAAACATATAGAATGTATGCGAAAACAGCATTCGACTATTCTCTCTCCATTGACCCATACAGTTTCTTGTCTCCTTTGAAAGAAACGAGTTTACGTATAACCTAGCTCTGCTATAATTCAGCTCCGCCATTTCCCAAGTTTTATTCTATACCCCTCCCAATGCATGTTCGTAAGGCATTCCATCGATTCCGTCACCATGACTGCCTCTCTTGCAATAAAGCACAAAACCAGTAACAGTATTCAAATTCTTCTCCCCGTTACTCCTCTATCCTCCCAATAAACACGTGTCGCTTACCTTGCTTACCGAGCATTCCGAGGAATTCGGCATAACAATCCGTAGTCGCTCCGGGGTGGTCGCGATGGTATTTATAAAAAAACTTTATATTCTTCGTATGCTTCTTCGATCTCCTTGTCAGTTGCGTTGGGATAGTCTCGTACATATTGAGCACCAAAGCGAAAAGTGCTCAGTGGGTCTACGTTCATAGCATACATGTCGATGTTTTTTCGTGTGATTAGTGAAAAAGTCGCGATCTGGCTCTGCGCGTCTAACTCTGTTTATCATTGGTCGAATCATGTGCCGAACAGAGAAATTCATGTGATCGAAATTTTTCATAGTGCGTAGTGCGTAGAGTTTTCTCATACATGTCAGATACGGATACTGTATAGTTACCGGTCCAGCCCAGCCAACAAATAGATCCATGCCTTAGTCAAGAGACAAAGGAGAATGAAGACAAAGGGAAAAACTCTTTTATACGCTTCTTGCCATATCACGTTGCCACGGCGGAACCATACATAGCCAAACATTTCCCTTAAACCGATTTGAATACAACCATGGTCTAACCTAATATCGTGTGAGAATCACTGTAGAAGCCATACAATATCTACCCGTAGAGCATGGTAATTGGGATTGGGCTGATCCAAAATTGAGCGTGTCGCATGCACGATTATAAGTCTTTCCCAATCATTTAATTCTCGAGTCTAAGTGACATTTCGGACAGGGGAGACGATTGCCACTAATAGATAAAGGTTTGACTGTGAACTCACGATTGAAAACTGTCCAGCTCTGACTGACTTATGTCGACGCTTGAGACGTTTAGTTTGTTGATCTTTCTAAGGAATGTGAAAACGTTGACAACGATATGCTCTTATTGAGTTGTAATCATAAGCTAACAGTATTAAATTATTATTTAAAATTGATATAATATTTCTCAAAGCCGCCATCTTCAACTTCATTCTAATTACTGTATATTCTTTGATCAGTCGCTTATATTGATAAGTGAGCAAACTTCCGAGCTTGTCACTGTTGCAAAGTACCAGTTTTCACGCAACTATACACAAGTAACACTAATACCCAACGTTGACAAGAAGCGTAATTTACGCAATTAACCCACCAATTACTCAAGCGGAAGCGTTTCATTTTCTACTTCCATACTTTTATCATCTCTGGTAATGCTGCTTCAAGAAGAGGGCGGCAATCCGTAATTGACAATGGTTTAAATGGAAGAAGCATGGGTGATTAGTCACGATGAGATTGTGAATTGAAATCACGATTGAAAGTAAATCTTGCCTTATTGGTCGACTGAGCCATTTGCGTGGAAAAGGATTGAAAACAACGTCGAATGTTGCTACGATTTTATGTAGGAATTATTAGCGTCAATTACTACCAGTTTCATGATCTACCTCAGCGAAGGCGACTAACAGTAACGTGCACGACTTTATTCGGGTATGTTTTTGACTCAACCTATATTGACACGTTTAATATATTTAGTCGGATCCTTGAATAAAGTGTACATACTATAATAACACGTTTATTCAAAGATTGTTTGAGTCGCTAAAAAGCAATAGACAATGTTAATACTATATATTGACTTTGTTTATATGACTAGCACTAATTGCTGTCTTTGTAACCGCGCCAAATCCAAACTATCTCCCTTACTTCTCGTCAACTTTCCCTAACTCTACCTCTAAACTTGGTAAGCTGGAATCAGATAAGGGAGGTAACTGATGAGAATTTCTTGGTTTGGGCAAATCTCCTGTATGTAAGAGTTTACTAGAGTATTTACTCTCCTTCTCGAGACGCGATAATGGTTTTACATCATTATGATAAAC